TTACGCGCCCAACCCAGTCGTCCGCTCCAGCTCCCGAGTGAGCGCCCACAGCACCCAGGGCATCTACGGGCGCACGACCCCTGGACCGCACTCGCCCCACAGACTGCCCCAGGCCCCCCAGATCCCGCTGCCGCCCATCCCCCAGGGCGCCATGCCGGTAGGAGTTCCCCAGCAGAGCTCCATGCAGGATATATACGGTCGGACCAACAGCCAGAAGCTCTACGGCCACTTGGGGGATTCTAACAGCATCTACGGCCCCAACATGATGAGAAATCCTGTCGGGCGGTCGGTGAGCCTCAGAGTCTCGTCAGGAGCCGCGCCCAGATTTAGCTCAGGCAGCTTTCGGCACGTTCCTCGCGAGTCCGAGTACAATACCAACGTGTAGGAATCCCATGTAAAGTTGTATAGGACTTAAACCGTGTGAAAGTACAAGTATGAAAAGTGGTGACACCATTCTCGCAATTATCATCTAATCTCCAAGGATAATGACCAGAGCCGTCCATAAAACCTGGTGAACTCTGACTCGAGACACGAAAATCCAACACTTGGAAAGAGTGAAAGGAAAGTCAAGTTATCGTCACTTTTTCATCAGTTTGATTGGGTTTAACAGGTGCTGAAGGATGCTGTTACTCGCGCTGTCTTGTACTTTGTACATATAATGTGTTGCACATATCAGAACCGACAACTTTGTAAAGTACTTGTTTGTGTAAGTATGGGAACTGTGTCGTTCGAGTGTATCACTGCCTTGTGTATTAAACCCTTCGAATATTTCTCTATAGTAGTGGGTGTATAATAACGTAATATTGGTGTTCAAGTTGCATAGAATTTAAAGAAAAGTCTAGGTGATTATTACTTGAAAACACCAAAACGAAGCTGCTCAATAATGTGTTCCTTTAAAAAAAAAAGTATCCAACACATTTTGTTTATATTCGTAACAGATTAAAACTCAGATGGTGAATGAACATTAGTGGAATATATAAGATGTATCATTCCTTGGTTATTTATGTACTTTACATCTCAGTCTAGTTTATTTTAGTTTCCATAGATGGCAATAGGAGAGAAAAAAATATATTGCTGTATAAACATTTCTTTTAAAGAAATTATCATTCTTTTCAGTTACATTTTTCAAACAACATATATTATAGGGATGTTGGGATCTGGTTAGCCTATGGTTGTATTTATCCATTATATTTTTTGTAGACCAAAGAAGGAAATAAGTCGATAGATAAACCCTCTGTGTGCAAATTGTATTGCAGATCGTGTATATAGGTATATTTGTAAATAGGGAATCCTTAGAGTGCCCAGATGCCAACGTAAAATGGTATCAGGGAGCAAATTATTTCATAGTTTAGGACTGATCTGGGCAGTGACAGATTCAGCACTTGCATTTATCCAAGAGGTTTTTTGGCCCTTGATCAGAAGATAAATGAGCGGTAGATGATAAATGAGCCAAATAGGTGTCTGGTACGATAAAAATACTTAAATATTCGCTGCTATTTCGATTAGTCATGCAATAAATTCTAGGCAATGTCTTACATTGATCTCAATTTTGCAAGTGTGCTAGTGTGCCAAATTTGTTATCGGATATAGGCCTGTGTGAAAAAACCAAAGGTACTGACTTAGAATTAGGATAGAAAATCCTTTGCCTTTTTAAAAAATGTGAATCCAAAGTTGATTCTGCTATTGATACTTACACGAAATTTCAGAATATGTAAAAGTTCTGCTGTGGGCTTATATTACTGATGGTGTTTTGGGGGATATGAGTCACAGTATTATGGAATATATAATATGTATATAGAATATTTTACATACATGCACATGTGCCATTCATTCACTCATTTATTTTTTTCATCCACACACACACACACACACACACACACACACACACACACACACACACACACACACACACACACACACACACACACACACACACACACACACACACACACACACGCACACACACACACACACACACACACACACACACACACACACACATACACACGCACATATTATCTTTATTATCAGCATTCTATTGTTATTGATGAAGATGTAAATGCTCTTTACAAGCAAGCATTTTGGAAGATATCAACATCATTCTCAGAACTTTCGATCTAGTATTGCCTTGATAATGTGTATTATTTCCAGAAGTCACCATTTTTTATATAAGGCAGTCACTTATAAAATTTAGATAGAATTTCTACTTTTAAATGTTTCCATATCAGCGCTTGTGGTCTTGAATGAGCATTACTTACAAGATTCTTAATCTTAATCCTCGATTATCCCATAATTTCCGAAACTACGCTTTAGAATTTTCTTGTGAAAAATTAATGTGTTCTGTGATTTCGGAAGCAAAATCCTTAAGAAAACTGGTCATATTCCTTTGTACAAAAATGTAATAATTCCCTCTCTGTATGTACATGTTGTACTGTTCATCGTACGGTAATGCATGCTTAGAAGACAGTGAACAAAGTCTTATACTTCTTCATGTTCACTTCTTATAGGTTTAAAGACGATCACAGTTTCTTGTGTTGATTTCTTGTTGCATAGTTACGGTGAGAGCCAAAAAGTTCCCTTGTGAGCTGGTATGTACATTTCCTTTCTAATTCTTAAGTGATGGAATTGGACGAAGAATTATTTTTTTATAATTATGTATAAAAAAAGAATTGGAAAAAAAGTCAAATTTCCAAAAAAATATGTATATGTGCCTGTTTACCCGAGGCCACGGAAGTCACGTCTCGGTTATCTTTGTTATAATTTTGCATTGTTTTATATAAAAGAATGTCTATCGGTAAGTTGTTTTTCCATTACTAATGGCATTGTACTTGTATATAATAAAGATGACTATAGCTTTCTTCTTTCATTTGTACACTATTTGCATTCTTTTTGGAGTATTTCCTGCAATTCTTACTTTTTCACACTTATATACTTACATTTCTTATTACTTATAAATTGATAATTATTTGATACTCATTTACATTTTAATAATGAAAGAACATTTTTGAGTTGTGGAGATCAATCAAAGTAGACTTATTTTTTTAGCAGAGAAACGGAAAAGCCAAGTAAATATAAAAGAAAACAATAAAAAGGAATGTCATAACACTAAATGTTTCTCAATGTATATAAATTTGTCTCAATATATATAAATTGTAATCTCACACACACACACAGCTTCTTGGCCAGATTTAGAAAGCATAAGGATAATCAAATTAAGTTTTCCATTTTTCCTGTTTAATCTATACGGTTATTTTACAGTTTGGTTGGTTTACATATACACGATATATTTGTGCTCGGCAAGTAATATTGGGTGAATGACATTAAATTCATTATAAAGGCTTCCAGTTTCTTTACATTATTAAAAACTATCAGATTTTTTTTATCACAATGAAAAACTGATTAATTTCGGCTGACGAATTTAGTTTAGACAATACAAAAAAAATGCCTAGCGCCTAAACACTCGTTTCTACATTAAAAAAGGCAAAAAAAATAATAAAAAAAATAAATAAATAATAATAATAATACCAAAGAAATACATACGGATATAACCCCATCAGATTCTTAAAACAGAATTGAAAACAGGAAAATGTACACAAAGAAATCATTGCCAAGGTATTTAAATTGCAGCTGAACATAGCAACAGCTTAGGAGACTTTAGGCAAGTTAACTGACTCTTTACTGCCAGCATAGAGAAAGGGGGGAGGGGGGAAAATGCTAGAAGGGTCACATGAATCTACTGCTAGGGTGAAATGAAGTGAAATAAGATATTCTTTATGGTACCAGCCATAAAAAGGTAATGTGCTAAATAATATTACTAAAAAAAATCATATTCAAAGCTGTGAAATGACATAGCAGAATTCGGTTCTTGGGTAAAATAAAAATATACTCAACTGAGATAGGAACGAAAAGAAGGATACAAAGAAAAAAAAGGAAATCAAAACCGTTGGAGGTATTGTTTACTATATTTTACGACATAAATCAGATATATAAATAAAGAAGCTTTTGATACAGACAATAACTTACATGCATAACACGAGCGAGGAAACGCAATAACAATACAATCTAATGACTGCAATAAACATTGTTTAAAAAAATAACAACCAAGGAATGGAAATATAATTGACTATACTAAAAACGTATAGCTATCATTATCATTAATTAGAATACAAACGATATTCAAACTTGGCATCGAAACTCATACAGACAAATGAAGAGATGATGATACCAATACAGATTTTCAAGAATGCTTTGAAAAATACTACAACGGCAGTTAATATTATGCACGTTTGCTTTTTAACACAACAGAATATTATGGCAACAACATATCATAATGACATATGTTTATGTCAATGAAATAGTCATAATATAATTATAGTAATCCACATACAAGTTATAATAAAAAAGGATCATTACCATGGCATGCGTTGTTGGTAATGCTGACCGTTGACTAATTGTTGCTAATGTCCTTGTGAAATGATAACCCTTCACTTTACGGACTTTTATCAGTGTGATTGTAACCGTTATCATCATCATTTTAATTACTTATAGAAAAATATTGTATTATCATCATCTTTAGTGTCCTCATTATTATTATTATTAGTGGTGGTAATAGCAGAACCAGAGATAGTAACATCATTATTATTCGTATCAGCATTATCATCTTTATAAATTTGGTTGATGTCATTATCACCGTCATTACTTTTTTATTGACCATAGCTGTCATTATCATCATAATTTTATCAGATGCTTTAACATCACATTCTTTCATTCTGGTTTTACAAAAGAGTTCCTCTCTCTTCACAAATGAATGCCAATTTACGCCTTTAAACCAAGTCAGCACGACCAGCAGCCTGCATGGTACCTCATAAAACAGTGAATGATGAAGACAGTCCCGTGGGCAAGGCGGTGGCGGAAATACTATAGTGTAAACCAAATCCTCGTGAATGAAAGTCAGGCAATGTTTCTGTACCTACGACCTTTGACCTGTAATAAGCGAAATC